GCGTTGATTTTGTGCTTCTTTTCCAAACTTCGTACAGCCTTTCAGTTTGTTGCAGGCATCGGATTGAGTACTTTCACGCCTTCCAATTAGAACTGGTTTCATTCAATTCGACGTGCCTACCCGTCATTCAGTTTAACGCCGGGAAGTATAGGAAGAAGAATTTCCTTTCAAATCTTACCAAATCTTTTTTGTCTATACGGGCAAACCATATTCGCACTTAGAGCCCTCAAATTAGAAGCGGAAAGTAGGCCTACAGTGTGTAGAAGGAATATATGAAATAAGAATGCACGGCAGATTAAAATTGTTTGTAGAACAGAAAAAGAAAAACGCGATTACATGTAAAAACATAGTAATAAAAGTATGATCTACTTATTTGCCAGTTTATACACGGACGAACACAGTTAACTCAATGCCAGATCCATTTTTTTCAACTCTTGCCACAGCTTACCACTGCTTTTATTGTTTCACTCATGCTATAAACCGTTTATAAAATTCCCTACCGACAATCGGGCAAGACGCCGGCTACCAAATAGGGCCACCGACTTACACTGAAAAACAAGGGATGCACACGAGATAAGGGATGAGTGTTTGTGCACCTGACACACAACATGTACATCGGATCACCCGATCCATCCGAACATCGTAGTTACTATTTGATAGGCTGTGGCAAAGTGTTCGACCAGGCGCTCAGCAACTGAGTATCCCCATCGTCGCTACCTATTCACCCGCCCCGACATTCGTTTACCCGGTCTATGCGGCGCATGTTTCGCATTCCCCACACCCCTTTGCTGCTACGCACTTCCTTTATCGGGGAGCACCGAAGGGCTGGCCCTTAGCACGCCCTAACCCCCTGCCTGCATGGTTCAATAATACTTGATCAGGCCTTGTTCGCCGTGTATGAATCATTTTATCGATTACCGGTATATCTCTAAAAATGTGATTTTTTCATTTACAAATACATATAATATCAAAAGATAAATTTCAGATCAAAATGCATTTAGTCCGACTTGGACCTTCATCACACACAAAACCACTTCAATAGGCAATGGTTATTGTTGGCTAAATGAAGTACATCAGTTTAACTTGTATCATAGACCATTACTATTGAAGTTGGAAGTCAGAATTGAGCTGGTCACCGTTCATGGACGAATTTACAGTATCATTGACCCTAACAGTTCCAAATCCTCCAATTTCAATACGATTTTACATACACTCTTGGAGGTTAGGGTTAAAGACGGAACTTGTATAATGGTATATTAAAAATAGCATAATTTGGGGAAACACGGTTGTTTACCATCTAGCCACCCCGGTCAAGTGACAAAACTTTTTGAGGTACATGTACTTCCCTCTAGAATTAACTTTATGTATCTCATGGTTTCAATTGTTGTCCGTTGGGGTGTACTTGTATGTTCGTAAGGGGCGACTTTTGTCCTCTATATGGCTTGGCACCCCAAACTCTTTGATTTTTTGATCCTATCACTATGTTCACAGCAACTATATAAAGTCCTGATATCGGACCCAATGGTATACAATGTCTCGGTTTCCAGAAAATGGGAAGCCACAATACATACCGTGCGAATAATCAATATTCAAATATCAATCGATATTGCTCTTTTCTGAAGTAGGCCTACTTAATAGGGACAATGGGTATCTTCAGGACGGGTGTTGAACGGATGGGTGTTGCGTGCAGAGATCTATTGGCGGGAACACGTCGTCTCGCTTGTGTATCAAAGACAAATTAAGACAGGGACATCGAAATCCTGAACACGAGAGAGAACTGTGATTTTTATCTCCTTGTTAATTATAAAGAAGAAATGCATTTATTAATTTTGAGTTGGTTGGTCCAACACATCAATGCAACATTCGTAAAAGCTTTGCTGCTTTAATCCTAAAAAGGGACGCGCTGTCCCAGCTCTGGCTTACGGAGGCCCGTTAGGGCCGCGGTGTGTTTCTCTTTCACGGCGGTGTGGTACTCTTTCACGGCGATGCGTTTCCCTTTCGTTGTTGCCAGTAACTCGCGGCCGCGACTTATAAACTCGCAGCCGCGAGTTAGTAAGTCGAGGCCGCGAGTTAATAAATCGCGGCTGCGAGTTACTGGCAACAACGAAAGAGAAACACACTGCCGTGAAAGAGAAACGCTCCGTGGCCCTAACGGGCTTCCGTATTGGCTAACCTGAGTATCTGCTTTCATCATGGTAAATGTATAATTAAATCGATAGTATAAAAGAAAATTGATCAAGATGTATCTTCAGAATATTGCCAATATTATGGTTCTGAAAATTAAAAATATGTATCCTATATAGTCAGAATCATGATATTTGCAACAGAAAGCGTGTATGCAGGATCGCCAGCACTCTCCTCCCAAAAAAAACCCCGAAAAGTGACATTTAATTTCGCCCAAACTTAGTGTCAGAAGTGTCGTTATTGTTATCAAATCGCAGCTTTAAAAGTTATCTTTCCAAATACAGAGACGTAATTTTAATCTGATGATGCGTTGGGGACACATGAGAAAACTGCTTTCGCGTTCTGTTCACTGGGATTTACCATAGCAAAATAATATGATTACGCAATTTCAAATCCTTTATTACACCAGATCACTGGAATCACCGGAGGGTTCTTTTTTTTGATGCCATGTTCAAATCTCTTTTATTTATCATCAGCAAACAAACAGGATCTTGAAATGGTTCTAAGTGATAACAGTGTTGCAGAATGAAATAAGATGACTTGTCAAAACTTGTCACAACTTTACTGCGGGAAAACTGCGTATGTTCAATGTAAGATGTTTTCACTGAAACTAAGAAATTGAACGCTGAAACTGCATAATTACAATTAAACCACAATTGCCCCGTGAAATAAGTCTCATAAGTTTAGAATTAGAAAAGAATTCCACCCCAAACCTGTGCGTGATAATTTGGGATTTGAATTAAGCGGCTGTATACACTTGCAAGATTTAACTGTGTAACTTTTGTAGACCAGAGCAATGAATTCTGTTGCGTAATCAAAAATATTTCTGCAGCGCAATGTGAGCTTCAAATGAAATTCTAAGTAGAAAACAGTAGGCCTACAATAGCTTTAATTTGATATAAAAAAAACGACAGTATTGGATTAAAAAAATGAATATTAGTTTGGGGCTGTATTTTTTCGGGGGGTGGGGGGTAATAACAAAAAGGTGAATCATTTGCATATTCTGCTGACTCAAAAACTTGGTATTAAAGCGGCTCATTCTGTGATTGTGCTAATATAAATTAGCAATCAACAATAGCTTACTTTGAGGTTAATGCACGGTTGATTTTGACCAAAATCGTCGAAGTAAACACATAAATTAACATCGAAATGAAAGTCTGATTACATCAAAGATGCTGATTTTTTCCCAATGAATATTTTGGCCAACTGTCTGAAGTTTTATTTCAAGTGTTTTTCAACTTTGCGTACTTTAATATACCGAGACATAATTGTTCAGAATATTTAAATCGCATTAAATATTCAGGGTCACCGGTAATCTCTTACAAAATGTTGTGAAGGGAAAGCATAGTGGGTCGCCTTGTACCATGATCAATACGCACCCATTCTACAGTGGAGTAGGCCGATCAACATCAGGACAGAGGTAAAAATATCTATACATTCAGAAGTCGCTACATGTAGTGCCGATCGATGAGGTGAAACGACCAAACGCATGGTTCAATACGGATAGCGCCCTCTTTAAAAAATCGTATGAAAACTTATATTTGAAGTCCCGGACATCCTTATACCAGGCATGATATGGGACGGAGGGGTACCCCCCCCTACATGTCAGATCCCTATACACACTCTAGATTATTGTTACCTAACACATCCCCCAGAAGTCTGTAAAGAATTCCTGAGATTCCGATCAAACAATGACCAACACAAAGGCGGGGGGGGGTTCTCTCTGTCCCATATCTTCAACCGTTTCAAATGGGCATCCTGACCGAAAGTAGGCGACTTAATGGAAGGCCCATGTACGTTCCCCCACAAGGCAATAGGTGGACTTTGTGGTGGCAAGCGGTTTCGCCATAAATTAAATAGGCCTACCTATCTCTTAACATTCATTCCTACTTCTGAAAAACCACCTTACCTGATAGAGCAAGTCCAACAAACTAAAAACTTTTGAATCGTAGGCCTGCTAATACGGAAGCGGTAAGCGCAAAAGCCCCGAACTGACAATTTCTTGAAATTCCATATTGCCGCTGCGAAATGAGAACAAACACCTTGCTCGTGGCCCTTCGATACGGAAGCACATAAGGGCTACTAGCCAAAACAAAGTTCAAACGATCGTGGAAATATCTCGCCACGTCACTTTAAAACCACGTTTGAATGTGACCCTCATACGCTTCTGTAAAAGTTAAGCCACAACGCGCGCACGACACGCTGGCGCGCTTTCGGGAGCAACAGGTTAAGTTTAGGAAAGGGTATACAGTAGGCCTGGACAGGCAAGCGCATCTTACTTGATTTTATATGTTAAAACTGGCGTATATCCGGGAGCAAATCCAGATCCAAATTTTACGATCGACAAACTTTTTGTCAGGGGGCAAAAAATTGAAAATTCTTCCTTTAATTTTTATTGCCTTTCTAAAGGTTGAGGCTACATTTGGGCAGTGGCGTAGCTAGGATTTTACTCGGCGGGGCACAAAGGAAGCTTTCAGTGTTTTTTTTTTTTTAGGGGGGGGTTATTTAAACCTTGTTCGATAGCCATTCAACCGTTTATTTAGTGAGGGGAACGGATGGGGCACCGAGAATTTGTGGGGAGACACGCCCCCCCCCCCTTTGGAGGATTTTTGCACATTGGTAACAGAAAAGGAAGTGACTTTAAAAAATGGCTTGCCTGTTAATGTCCACTTGAGGAGAGAATAGGGGAGGAATAGGTGGCATTCTGTTGCCTCCTCATCCAACTTTGCGTGTAATCAACATACAAACACGATGTCAGAGACTTGGAAGCATGACATATGTTGTTCAGAAACATCTTTACTCATATACATCTCTGTTTAAAAATAAATTGAACACACACAAGTGAATGATATACACAATGTGCATGTACTTCTATTAAAATTAAACAATTTTAAGATGATAAAATGAATTTTGGCAAAGAAGATGATGAAAGAGTACACACAGTTGATTATTAAAAAGTTGGAAACCTCAAGTCAAAATTTCATTCAAATTACATGATGGCAAAGCAATGAAAAACTTTCTGCTTCAAATGAAACACACCCTTCAAACTGTTACTTCTTCTTGTATCAGTAATATTACCAATGAGTCAAGTCATTCAAACTACATGTCACTATATGTATATGCATTCAAAATATATCTCCGCAGAAAAGAATCCAATATATTTACTAGATGATTAATGAGCATGGTATTTTATGTTACACGCAAGAATAGTTCATATGCAAACAGATTTTGTAGCGACAGCAACATTTTCACAGATTGAGTGCAAAATTGTCTGTTTAAAAAAAACCCTCCGACCCTGAAGACATCGAAATTAAACACAAGTGATTACGCCTTCATAAGTCAAATGCAAAGGTCTCTCCTTTTGAAATAAAAAAAAAAAGATCTGAAATCTTTCTGTTACAAAAACCTCATATCTTCTAGAATTATCTGGCCTGTGCTCCTAATTTACAGCACAGAACCAGGTACAGTTTTTGATTCACAATTTTCTCTATAAGGACGGCATGTTGGAAAGAGCCTTTACCAAAGGCAAATGACAAGAACGTTGGAAATAATATTAAAGCAAACTTAACAAGGGAAATGTGTTTAAGTTCAAGTTTTTAATTATTTGATTGAAATAGTTGTGCATTCTGAATAATTTAATTTTGTGTCACTTGTGTCTCAACCTCTGCAAACAAGCCAAACATCCACATTCCTGCAAACACCCTACATGAGATTCAAAGTACATGTACACAGTTCGCAAACAAGTTGAAGTCATTCATCCTTTCAATTTTAAAAAAAGGCAATAACTCTGACTTGGCAATTTTAGTGTTTTACTTTAGGAGCTGTCAGTCCAGTCCTCCATGTTAATGCCACTCTCATTATGGTCTGTCCATATAATACAAACATCCTGTGATTTGACTAGTAGATTACCAGTCGAGCAGGGAACATACCTGTTAATGCTTATGTCAACGAATTTTCAAGACTTTGAAAGGTGCTCCCATGGGTTAATATTGAACAGGAGGTCAAAGCAACAGGTGAATTGTAAGATACATGTGTCAACATCACTTAAGGTGAACCTGCAAATCTTTACTCATAAAATGCACATTTCAATGTACTTGTACAACATGCAACACAATATAATACTCAATATGCAATATCCATGCTTGTCTCATTTACAGGCAGCAATTAGAAGACATTTTTACAAAGCAAGTAAAGTGCTTTCTTGAAACCTCCGTGGAAAAAAAGAAAAAAAAAGGGACAGGTTTTTGGTGAGTCAATGAGCGAGGACTAAATCACCCTGCCCCAATCCATTGAAAAACATTTTTCCTACCCAAGTCTTCAAGAAATATTTGTTGACAGTAGTGTATATGTTTAGGCCTCTATTAAACCCATCCACCCAACCCTCGACAGAAATGTAAACATCAATTTTTATTTCTTTCATTTGAGCATTCAGACGATCTTAGACAAAGGAAGATTGATCACATCCAATCCAGGATTTGAAGACTATACCAGTATATTCAATGTTCATGTTCATGAACTTGAAGTTGAGAACTTCAAAAAAGCCAACTCTAGCAAACTGATCACAATATTTTTCACTTATGGCATATTTACTCCAGTGATTTGACAACTTTACTGCCCCAGTGCTATATCAGCAGGTCTGATTTGCCGTTCTCCTTCAACCAAGAAGATCTGGCACGCTTTCTTGAGGAGAAAGACACCCATCTGTCTTCTCTTTCTTGCGGGTAGTGTTGAATAGGGACCATAAAAGTCCCCCTTCTTGATGTTTGTTAGCCGAGACAGACCTGAAAGAGTTAAAGTGATAAAACTGTGACTATGAGTATACCTGGTACTTGTCAGAGGGAGTAAACTGTGTGATCCTCAACTTCCAGCAAACAGCAACAACTTTCTCAAAGGGCTACTGTCTGGTCAACTTAGAGACTTGGTTGACAAGGCTTTTTATAAAGCTGGATCAGGGATGCATCTGCAAGCAACTAAGTTGGCAAATAATTCTTGGCTTGTATTGAAGAGCTTATATTAAGCTTATTCGCCCATAGCTACCGTCACTTTCAACAGTTCTTAATCATACGCCATATTCATAATCATTGCAAAATCACCTATAGGCATATCTTTGGTTTTACCATAGGTTTATTACAATAGTATGGGGACCCATCCCAGGCATTCATGAGCAGTTCAAAAAGATGAAAGTTGAGGTCTACTGTTGGGGGGGGTCAGGGAGAAACAGGGAGGCTTGTAAAATCATTACATCACAGTGTGCACAGTGTATCAGGTGCTTCATGTCTGCGGATTGCAGAGTGCAATGTACCGGTAGGCTACATGTACAATGTCTGTATCAGTGAAAAATAAGTCTCTCACATTGACAATAATCTTAAGAGAATACAGTTTACTCAAATGCCTATTGGGTAATATTGGAATTGCTTCTTTACAAAAATACTAAACGTTCACTACATGTACATGCTAGAAGAAACTAGAATCCCGAACAGCCTGGTGGACTGGATTTGTCAGATGGATTCAAGATACCTTGGTTTACATGACAGAGACATGCCACGCTGACATCAAACTTCCCTGGTGTATGCCTCTAT